CGTGTGCTGGCTCCAGGGGGGGGCCCAGCGCTGGAGACCCCCGGCTGCCCCTGTCCTACCGGGGAGCACAAGCATGGTCGTCTTCTGCAAGCAACGGGGACCCCGAGCCACCCGGGGCTCGTGCACGGGTGAAGGGTTTGGGCAGGATATCCCTCGCGTTGGCTGGAGAGAGGGGTGCTGCCGGGGAGACCGCAGAGGAGGGATCCCAGCCCGCGCCCAGCGCCAGGGGTGCGGAGGCACAGGGGCGTGCGGCTGGCCGGCGAACGCGGGGTGCAGGCTGCTCTTGCAAGTGTGAGGATGCAACGGGCGCAGCCTGAAACTCTCAGCTCCCCTTTCCTCTGTTCCTGCTCTGCTTTCGAGCAGTGACGTTAGAGCTTAGCTTTGCAAAAGTCTAGGAAAGCTCAGCAGTTCTAGCAGTGAGAACAAACAGGAAGGGGAGATTGGCCTGACCGAAACCAGGACCCGAGGAGGTGCAAAAACGGGAGTCCTGGGACGGCTGTTACTAGAGAAGCTCGGGGGGCCGAGTGATTACAGCCTTATTGTGTCTAAGCACATAACGAGCCGTCCCTGTACCCCCGGGGAGAAGCAGAAGGGCTTTCAGGCGGTTTTGGAGAAACGCAGCTCTAGCAAGGGGAGGAGCGGGTGGCAGAGGTGCGGGTGTAGCTCTCAAGGGAGATAGCGGGTGTCTGCCCCGTGCTGTGCTGGGGTCCGCTGGGTGCCTGGCGCGGGAGCAGGGTGGGTTTGGTGCTGCGGTGCGTTATGAGGCAGCCAGAAAGGCTTTCTGGTACAGGGATTTAATCCGTCGAGGGGGCACAGCGTGCGTCCCTGCAGTCAGCGTCCCCCCGGCAGGCAGATGCAAGGAAGGACGGAGATCCCAGCGGCCCAGGACGGTGCTGCGGGCAGCAGCAGGGAGGGCAGCCGGGGCTCTGTCTGCAGCGAGGCTGGAGGTCGGGCCGGGCTGCGCGGCTCCCTGTGCAAGGCTGCCTTGCTGCAAACTGCTCTTGCTGCTGATCTTGGCTCTTACCGAGCACGACTTCCACCTCCCTCCTTGGGTCACTCCCTACCGTCCCTGGCAGCGTGCGCAGCTTCCACCAGAGCTGCCCTCCCCAGCACTGCCGCGTTGCAGGGCTGGGGGAAGCCCTGGGGTCCTTGGGGGCTGCCACCCATGCCTGTTCCCCTCGTGTTTGGGCTCAGATAGCACAGCGCGGAAGGAGCGAGAAGTGATGCTGCGGCTGAAAGAGGTGGTGGACAAGCAGAGGGATGAGATTCGTGCCCAGGCCCACGAGATCGTCTGCAAGAGCCGAGACACGGAGGCGGTGAGCGCGTGGGAGGGAGCCTTGGCGCGTCTGCTCACGGGCATGGCGCGTGAAGGGCCTGGGGGCTTGCTTTTGTGTCAGCTCCCTCTGGGGCCATGGTCACAGCTTGCAGACCCTGCCTGGGCTGGCGCTTGGGCCTCTCTGCCTTTCCCGTGGCTGTGCACACACCGATGTCCCTGGGTGGGGGCCGAGTTTGGAGAGATGCTGTTGCCCCCCCCTCACTCTTGGCTGTCACGGGCTTTCCAGCTGCAGGAGCAACTGAATCGCTTCATGTGCATGAACGAGGACCTGCGTCACAAGGTGGCCGTGGTGCAGGCTCAGCTCAAGAGCGCGCTGGAGAAGAAGTCAGACCTGGAGGCTGTTGTGCTGCAAACCCAGAGGGAAATGAGCAGGAGGACCAGGACTGCCTCTGAAGCCCAGCCACCAAAGCCCAGCCTGGTGAGTAAGCCTGATGCTACGGCCCACCTGCCACAGGCCATTGCTAGCGCAGAATAAACCTGCCTGCAGCTGTTTTGGGTTCCTGTAACTCCCAGCTCAGTCCGGGTGTTGGAGACTGCCAGCAGGGACGCAGGAGTTTGAGTAAGTCTGGCTTATCCTTGAAGACTGAAAAGCAGTGAGCACGTGCAGTGGTGCCAGTAGTGCCTAGTCCATAAGAACGGCAGGGTCGGAGGAAGGAGTTAGCAAGGTGAGGTGGTGGGATCTCTATTTGCCGTTAGGGTTTCTGGGCTTGCTCACTTTCTTTCCGTCCCAAACCCACCAGGAAGGAGCGCCATTGCCTGCAGAGGAGGACCCGCTGCACCAAGGCCCGACCAAGAGCCCTGCTCACTGCTGCTTCTCAAAGGAAGAGCTACAGCAAATCCTGCAAGAGCGGAACGAGCTCAAGACCAACCTGTTCCTGGTGCAGGAGGAGCTGGCTTATTACCAGCGGTGAGCCCTTCCACAGCAGCCGGGGAAAACGAGCCCAGGTCCTCCCTGTCTTGGTAGCAGCCTGCAGCCCTTCAAAGGCTGCTCCTGCCGCAGTTGCTGCACGCTCCTGGGAGGTTTTCTTTGCTGGGCCCTCAGTTAACCAGCTGCTTTCTTTTTGCCAGGGAGCTGCTGAACGAAGAGAGAATTCCTAGCTTCTTCTTGGATGCAATGAAATCGACTATCAAAAAACAGAGGAGAAAAATCAGAGCCAAAATGCTGGGAACAGCGGAGGAGCCGGCAAGCAGGTGAGTCCAGCTGGCCAGAGGCAGAGCACGGCGAGGCTCTGTGCAGGGCAGATGCTGGCTGGCTGGCTCCGGCATTTCCGCGTGATGTGACACCTTGGAAGGGTTGTCCCCCAGGCCAAGAGCTGCTTCGTCTCGTCCTGTCCTGTCTTGTCCTGTCCTGTCCTCGTTCCAGAGATCAAAGGTTTATTGTCTGCGCTCGATGTCTTGCTTTGGCTGAGTCCTGGGAGCCTTTGCTCTTCTCTGCTGGCACTCACATGTCCCTGTCACCAGTCACACGCGGCTGCTCCTTGGCCAAATGCTGCTTGGCCCTGTGTGAAGCATGGCGAAGGGGAGGCGAGGTGGTGGTACTGGGACCTCCGCACAAGGCAGGCTGGTCCCTGCACCGTTTGGTTGGAGGCTGTCCCAGCAGAGAGCCATTGAAGATGGCAGTACAGATGTTCCCTGGAGGCTCTGCAAGACATTTGTGGGCAATGTTGGCTCCAACAGACGTCTCACGATTGGGAGGGGTGACCGTGCTGAGCGCCAGCCCAGGCACTGCTTATCTGCTTGAGGCAGCGGGGGCTAAGCCTGCGCAAAAGCTGTTGTACGGCATTGGGGGGACATACATGGAGCTGTATTTCACTGGCTTTTCGGGTCCTTAATAAAGGTCTGAAGGGGGCTGAGCTCTTCTATGCTATGGAAACCTGCTGTTGCTGCTTGCTTGCATTGGAGTGTCTCCTGGCCCGAAGCAGCGGGGAGAAGCTGTGCGCTAGCTAGGGCTGCGGGTGTTGTGTCAGCCGGAGCCCTGGGTGAGGGGAGGTTTCGGTGTGCCTGGAGCGTAGTGCTCTGGTGCTGGAGATAAGCGCTGCAACGCTGCCGTGCCACCGGCTCCCAGTGCGGCCAGTTTCCAGCTCTGGCAGCCCAGACAGGCCCTGGCAGGGAGCCATCTCGAGAGGAGCAGGTTGCTGGTGCCGTCCGGGGATCCAGACGGGCTGGGAAGGGCTGGGCCTGGCTGGTGGCACCTCTATGAGGAGGTAGACCTCTATGAGCTGCTGCTGCTCCCTCGGGCAGGCAGAACAGGATTTTCAGGAGCGCGCGGTCCCTCCGCTCCCCCG